GCTATATCCTGATCCTGATCCCTGCCATGCCCTGATCCCTGCCATGCCCTGATCCCTGCCATGCCCTGACCCCTGCCATGCCCTGACCCCTGCCACGATTCCCAGCACCGAGTTCAGGGCACAGGCATTGCAGGTAAATCCATGTAAACCACATCCCCAAATCCCTGATCCCCCCCCTGCAGTGGAGGCCAAACCAACCCCTGTTCTGCAGAGCTCTGGTCTCCAGGGGCAGGAGCAAAGCCCCACGGGGGTCAGTGCAGCTGGTGCCCAGCTCATCCCCAGCACTGCAACCCCAAACCCCCAACAAACACTGCCAGGTCATTCCCAGAGTGTTTCCACTGAGAACAACTGAGCAGCACCAGGAATCAGCTCCTCTCCCTGCTCAGCTCTCTCTGAATCAGAGCATTAGGATTATATAGGACACTGTGCCAGATATAGGATACGGAGAGGACTCAGGAATCCAGGCTATTTTTATACCTTTTATGCAAATTGCCCCCCTCAGCCTACAAATCACCGCTCTAAGCAGCTGAAGGGATGCTAAGCAACTTGTTAAAGCCTGAGTGGGATATATCCTGGGCTGGGCCGCTCAACCCAGCTGTGGCACTGCCCTGGTGACACCCTCCTGCCCAATCCCACTGCTCTTTCCAGCCCTCCATCTGGGCAGACAGATCCCATCAGCTGGCACTGCTCTGCCAGGCACAGATGCTCCCTGGGGCAGATTAAAGCTCATTACAGTCAGCCCAGGACTGCAGACAGTGCCCTGCAATGCCAGGGCTGACAGGGCAGCTGGGTCCAATATTTTGTCACAGCCAAAGCAGCTTTTTCATGCCTCATCTGTTCTCTCCTGTCCCTGCCCTTGAAACAAAAGCCTGGAGAGACTCAGACTGGCACAAAGTTACCCCAGAAATCATGACCTGCCTCCTTCCCCAGCTACTGGACTGCTCTCTCTCCCATTCTCTCTCTCCTTTACCCCTCCAGGGACTGTTTTTCTGTCTTTTTTCTTGGCTGCTGTTTAGGCTCTGCCCAAAATCAAAGCTCTGGAGCCTCTTCCACCCCACGCTGCCCAGACACCTCCCAGCAACCCCAGTGCTTCCCACTGCTGCTCCTGCAGGGCACAGAGCTGTCTCCAGCTCCAGTTATTCCATATTCCCTTACCACAGCTCTGCCTGGCTGATTTTCCTTGTTAGTTCCTGATATTCCCTCTGCTCTTCTCCTCCCAGGCAAGGGGGCAGAGCTCCCAGGGTGTCAGAAATTCATATGAGAGCTCCCAGGGTGTCAGACATCCATCCACCTGCAGGATGCAGAGCTGGAAAACCCCTCAGTAAGAGCAAAGCAAACCTTCTCTCTGGTTGCCTTGGGATCTGGCTTTAGTTCTCCATTTATTTTACATTAAATCTATTAAAACACCATCAGCAGCAGCTTTTACTGGCTTTTGCTACCAACATGGAGTTATTAAATTGAACAGGGGGTGCTTTTGGCAAGGCCAAGGCTCCTTCTTCAACTGATCATCTCAAAGGCTTCTTACTGAATCCAGGGCAAAAGGAATGAAGGGATAAAATCAAGATAACAACTCCCATTTTCTATTAATTCATTGATTTCTACACAAGTCATGATGAGAAGGAAGAGTAAAACCCCAACTCCCTGCAAGGAGTGAACCAGAGCAGACGGGGGGAAAAAAACCAGATACCTGCTCACTTTTTACATTTATGAACTCAGCAGATCTAAGCAACGTTTGTCAACAAATATTTTATCACCCTGGAGAAAAATCCACAGAGAAATGAGTTGTCTGAGCTCTCTTTAAACAACCCAGCTCCTTCCACTGTGGGGTATGAAATCTCTGCTCACATTTCAAGGTTTTCTCACAGAGCAAGCTCAGGTTTTTTACCCAAACATCCATGACATGATCCCAGTTGTCATAGAAACGAGTCAGC